CATTTTATTGTTTCACCAAGAAGGGCTGCCATCATGATCTCTGTGGTCAGGTTTTGGTGACCTGAAGGCTATGCAATTGGGGGTTTCTATTTAAAAAAAGAAAAAATATTACAATTACGAAATTAGACCTAGGGTGGTGGCAGGGGCTCTTGGAAGTCGGGACCATTAGCTTTGTGAGCTTCAGGTGCAGTGGCCTCTGGCCACGAGGACCCATCCTCATGCTCTGAAGTTGGAGGGACCAGTGGGTTCAGTGAGAATGTTTACTGAGTGTATCTCATGGGCTAGGCATTGTCCTATTTGTACTCTGTGTTCCTTATTTGAGATAGTGAGCTGATTTAATCTCAATAGCATCTTTAAAAAATTAGACTTTTTATTTTGAGATGTAATGTAGATTTCCATGTAGTTGTAAGAGATAATATGGAGAGGGCCTTTGGGCTCTTTGCCCAATTTTCTTTAATGGTTCCATCTCGCAAAGTTGGGGTACAATTCATTACTGACTCACTAACCCTTTGAATTTTGTGTTATTGCCCTCATTTCTATTCATGATTAAACTGGAGCTTAGAGAAACACACAGGCCTGCCCAGGTCACCCGCACAGTTAGTGTAGAGTCGGGTGGGACGTGGGCTTGGGATTTCCAGACAGTACCATTATGATGGTCTTTTGCAGGGAGCAGCATTCACTTTGCTTGTTTATTCATTCATTCAACTTTTATTGAGTAACCTCTGTGGGTCAGATGCTTTCATAGGGTTATCTGATTCTTCATCAGTACTGAGAATCAGCTAATGTTTTCTTTTTTTTAATCTGAGAAAAATAGCTCTGAGAGGTTATAACCCCTCCAAAGGTAATATAGCTCATAAAGGAGGGATAGTAAATTTGCACACTCCCCCCTTTTTATGCAGGTGATACCCTAGGCATTTTACATTTGCAAACTTCCGTAATCCAGATATATTCTTGTAAGGCAAGTATTTTTTTCAATTGAAGTACAGTCAGGTTTACAATGTTGTGTCAATTGCAAGGTGTTTTTTCTGAATTTTGAATTAAAAAAATACTTTTTGTGGTGTGTAATTAAGTTTATTTATTTGTTTCATTCTTTAAAATGAGGTACTGGGGATTGAACCCAGGACTTCATACATGCTAAGCACGTGCTCTACCACTGAACTGTACCCACCTCCCCAAAGCAAGTTTTCTTATCCATTATTCTGCAGCTTAGGTGTTCAAATAAATTGGAGTTGAAATCCAGAATTTTTGATCCCACTGTGGTTCTTTTCTTTATATTCTGCTGAAAGGGGTTGGGGAAGCAGTTCCTTTATTCATTCCTCCCCTTCAGCAGTTTTGAGCACTGACTTTGCATCAAGGCCTGGCTAGGTGCTTGGAAACGGAAAACAAGAAGTGACCCTTTTCTGCAGGGGCTGGAAGCCTAGACCAAGAGCTGCGTAATGTGATCTGAGCTATGGTAGCCATGTGCAGACTCTGAGGACAAACTGTACCCCAGGCTTGCTTGGGCTTCCCCTGCCTTCTGACTGGTACACACCAGGTCACAGCAACCAAGAGGGGCCCGCAGCCCGCAGCACAGTATGTACCTTGGTCTCCTCTCCCCTCTCAGCAGGGCCTGCAACATGAGCATCACTGACTACATGCAGTGTGCTGAGGACCAGCAGACTCTCCCCGTGGTGGTCCAACCCATGGGGATCATCTTAGAGGAGAATTTCTTTTGCATCTATAAGCGAATCTCCTTGGCGAGCCAGGTCAGCCCGTGCGGCTCCCAGTGGGCACTCTGTATCCACTACAGGCACCACTACGGGCCCAAGAATGGGTGGAGCGACTTCCAGACTCACCGCAAGGTCGTGGGCCTTGTCACCATTACCGACTGCCTCTTAGCCAAGACCTTCTAGAAGCTCCATGTGCAGAGGAGCTGTATGGCACCACGCTCTACGACTCTCAGCTTTTTGTCATTGGGCTGCATGGTGAGGTGGCCGAGCAGCCGCGCATCGACGTGGCCTTCAATCTACGAGGACTGCATGGTGGTGGAGAAGAGGATCGAGGACTTCACTGAGTCACTCTTCATCATGCTCAAGTCCAAGTGGTTGGACGGAGCCCCCGACAAGTCTGGGGCAAGATTCCCCTCCTCTACATCCTGTTTGAGGAGGAGGACTTCATTGGACTGCACACAGAGAGCAGGTAAGTCTACCTGGAGGCCCGGCCACCATGGCTGTGTGCCGGGTTGCTTCCCTACATCCAGAAAGTGATCAGCAAGGAGGAGGGCTGTCTTGTAGCCAAGGAGGGAGGGAGGTGCAGCCCGCCGGTTTTTAAGACGTTTAAAAGAGAATCCGCCTTTGTTTCAGTGAGATCCTTTTAGGGTTAGTGTGGACACTTCCTACCGCTTTTCAGCCAGGACTCTTGGTGGGACCCCTGGAGTTGCTGTCCAATAGAGTAGCCACAGCCACTAATGTTAGGAGCGCTGGGGAGGAGGCTGGTCTGAGCTGAGATGTGCTGTAGGTCAAATGCACATCAGACGCTGAGACTTGTCTAGAAAAAAGAATGTAAACTATCTTCTTACTTTCTATATTGATTACATGTCAAAATGATAGTATTTTACATACAGTAGAATAAGATCTGTTCTTAAAATCAGTTTATAGTGTTTTGTTTTGTTTTACCTTTTTAAATGTGGCAACTGGGAAGATTTCTTTACATGGCTCTCATTTCATCCCTGTTGGGCAGCCTGTCCTGGGACAGTCTCATCCCTTTGCTTATAGATGAGACGCTGAAACCCGAGAAGCAGAACGAGGAGCTGGTTGAGCTGGGGGTGGAGCCGGTGTCTCCTGACTCCTAGGCCCAGCACCTGCATGGCTCAGGCCCTCTCTCCCTGCCCGACAGCCGCCATGCCAAGTTAGGACATCAGAAACACCGCCAGGGACTTCCGAATGAACTCCTTATGCAGGGAAAGGCGTGTCAAGGAGTATGGGACAGAGCAGGAAAGATTCGTCCTCACTTTGTCCCTGTGATTAGGTCAACGGCCCCACTTTGCCTCGGAAGTGCAGAAGAGCTCTTTTGGGCTGCCTCCCCCCCCCCGCCCTCTGCTCTGTTTCCCTGTGTATCTACTGTGCTGTCCCTCGGTCAGAAGAGGGTGAGATGCCTTTGCCGACAGGTGATCCCCCTTTGCTGGGGACAGTGAGGGAAGCTGTGTCCCCCCCGGCCTACGGCCTCGGGCCTTGAGTCTGGAGAGCGCTGATGGTGGTCCCACAAGTGACGGTCGGAGGACCTAGCATGTGCTGCCGGGCCTGCTGTGGAGGCGGTGCTCTGTGATTCTTGAACTTACCTAAGGTCAGATCCTACTTTCTGGTTGTTGGTAAGTTGGAGAAGGAGATGCCAGAGAATTGATAAAAAGAAAGTGCAGACCAGCCCTGTGAGCGAGAGGCACAGGGGACCCGAGTCCCACCTGCGTGTGGTGCCTGGCAGTCTCTGGGTGAATTTTCACTTCCTCCCCGGACATGTCTCTATGGCTTAAGGAAGGGGCGACAGATGTCGTGGCCATGATCTGTACTTGTCTTCGCAGGACACTGTAATCTACATGCCCGCGCTCCCCTTCTGATCCTTGGATATGAGGTGGCAGGTTTAGTGGCCTGGGCAAAGCTGAGGGCACAGCTGTCAGCACCGGGCCACTCCCAGGCTGGCTCAGTTCACCTCACCTGTCACCTCCTGCTGAGCCCCAAGGCGTTAGTCAAGGTAGGTGCATCAGTGCAACATAAGCAGGGATCACCTTCTCCACCTGGACAGACTGGTCGGTGAGCAGTGGAAGCCTGGAACCCTGCCCCAGCCCCCTGGCCAGTGCCTCCTCTTTTGTCATAGGAGGCACTGGTGACATTTTTGCTCATCAACTGCTTTGCTCTGAGTCTGCAGACGCACCAGAGAATGCCAGCTTGTTTTAGCCTTTTGAAGTCTGTCCTTGGGATTTGGCGGAGTAGCTGGATGTTTGCTTAGCCCGTAGTGGTTGAAACTGTCACCATTGTTTACCCAGAACCTCGTGTACCAGGCATGGCTCTCGGCATCAAAATACAGCAGTGCATTAAACCTCCCTATGGTTGGGTCTGTCTGTTCTGGTACCATAAGGGCTCAGCCAGCATCTGAACGTGAGTGAGATAACGCGGCCAGTGAGCTCGGGTCAAGCACGTTCTTCTCCAGTCACTTTTACTCCACTGTTGCTTTTACAATTCCACAGTCATTAATTTTTAAAACAGTGCTTTGGTGCAGGAGCAGAGCCTAGTTGTCTCCCGCTAATCTTGGTGGGAGTGAGTAAAACTGTCCATATTGAAATGTGACCACATTTTGTAGCTCAAAAGCTATCTAGAGGCATGTAGGTGGAGTTTTGGTTTGGGGCGCTGACCACGTTGGGTCCCCCGGCAGCACCCCTCCCCTTAGTCCCCTGCCTTCCCTGGAGCAGGAGGTGAGGGTGGGTCTCACCGTCCCCGCGTCCCTGTCCTCATCACACTCACATAAATTCTTGTACAGGCTGTCAGTTATTTTTGTTCTCGTGTGTTTCTAATTTTTGCTTGTTCCTCTTTTCCTTTCTCTATTTTCCTTTTTCTCTTGTACTGCCCTGTGAGCATGTTGTTGGGTCTGAAAAGGTGGGCTGTGCACACCCTGCATTGGAAATAGCCAGATCGCCCTCCGTGCGATCCATCAATTTAAAAAGCAAAAACTTAACAGCTGCCTTGATCCATATATTATCCTAGTCATCTTTTTATTTTCTAGTTTTTCTGGAATTT